ACCCCCCACCCTTCCCGGGTTCTCGGCCACCAGGGTTCTGGGGACTTGCTGGCCTCCAGGCACAGGCCCTGAGGCTGAACGGCGTGGGCCCTGTGGCTGAAGTGTGTTTATGGTGCTTTTCAGAAAAGGAGATGCAGCCTGGTAGTGCTTTTTTTCCACTCTATGGGTGGGGTGCGTCCCAAGAGGGGCCATGCTCCCCAGTTGCAGGAAGTTTCCTTTCATGTTCACAAGTGTTCTTAATGCCCCAGTGCTGGGGGGAGAGAGGGGAGGAAGGAGCCCCCCGCCGACAGTCACAGCAGAGGGGACCAGGACGTCCCCCCAGTGCCCATCAGAGCCGCACCTGTGCTGGACCAGCGGCCCTCCTCACGCCCACCTGCAAACTCACCAGCCCCCCCCGCCCGTGGGCTCCAGCCACAGGCAGGCCCTTCCCCACGTGGCTCGGGGTCTCCCACTCCGGCCCGGCCAGTGCACGTTCCTGGGGGCGGGGAGTCTGGGGTGCTTGTTTTACAAGTGGGCGTCCTGGAAGGGGTGGGGGGGGGTTACCCATGGGCTTTCGGGTCCTTTGTCCTCAGCGGGCAGCCGTGAGGGCCACCAGGCACCTCGGGGCCCACACTGAGGAAGGACAGTCGGGGGATCTCCCTGCTGTCCATATGCAGGATCCCCCAAGAAATCCAGAGGAAGTGCTTCCTCTTGGGATAGAATTTTCTTCCTCTGCGATCAGGAAAAGCCCCTTGCACCTGCTTTTCCTGTGCTAGAAATGGCCCGGCAGGGGTCAGGGCCAGAGACCCCGGCCTGGGGGGGCCAGCCTGCCTCGAAGGCGCGTTCAGGGCTGTCTCCCCTGGTGGGGAATTGCCTCTGCTGGGGCAGAAAGAATTTTCCCTGGGCCTCACGGGCTCTGCAACCGGGCCACAGTGAGAACTGCGTTTTCTTTCGATAGGAGAACACGCTGGAGACCTACAAAACGGTGCCCGTGTGGAAGAGGGAGCCGGTCCGGGTGCTGTCCCTGTTTGGGGACATCAGGAACGGTGAGTGCAGTGAGGTCACGCCGGACCGCGACGGTCTGCCCCCAGGGAGGTCCGAGGGGGACCCTGTGTGTTCAGGGAGCTGGCAGGAAGGGAAGGGCATGAGAGCAGCGGGAGCTCACGCCTTCAGAATTGCCGACAGGACAGAAAATGCAGGAAGCAAGTATGGATGCGAGATGCCACCGAGCAGAGCCGCGGGACCCAGGCTTTGTGCAGAGGGCAGCAGTCCAGGCCAGGCCCTGCCTGTGGCCACCCCACACACCTGACCACCCGCAGGGCTCCCTGCCCCTCCCACTACCCAAATGTCCCAGCCTGCCCAGGCCGGCCACGTGATGCGTCCCAGCCTTGTCCTGCCCACCCCCACCCCCGGGCCCTTCTCGGACCCCCACTTGCTGGTGCCTTGGAAATCCTGTGGATGCTTCTGGGCCCGGCAGACCTAAGAATCCATGAAAACACTCCTTAGTCTCTGGCCAGATAGAATCAGGACGTGCCACCTGCTCTGTGCCACCACGAGCCTCGCGAACCGTGGTCACAGCGGCCCCGCGTGCACCTGCGCTGCCGACAGGGTGTCCGCGAGACATGGGGGGCAGAGCCTGCCGGCTGAAGGGGCGCAGGAGTCACGACCCCAGGCCACCCCGGCCTGCGTCTCCCCACCCGGACCATGCGTCCCTTACTCCCGTTTGTAAGGTCCTTTCTGAACTCGCCTTCCCGCCCCCAGGCCGAGGACTCTCCGAGGCTGTGATGGGGAGCCTGCAGGTCTCGCCCGCCGGGTCACACGGCCAGGCTGGGTGACCTCAGCGTGGACACCACGGCCTGGCGGATTTCCTAACCCAGAGCACGACACAGCAGCCCACGAAGGCCTGGTTTTGCAACCAATTGCTTGACTTTCTTAAATCCATCCAACACAGCGGAGTTGGCTGCTTAGCGGGTAGCGAACGGAAACTTCATCCTTCCTGCCGGTGCCCTGTCCTTGAAAAGACAGAGTTTGCTCATTAAGACAGAGACATGTTGTCTAATCAACCCTCGGCCTTCGGGTCTGTGCGGGGCCAACGTCGATGCCACCCTTCTGAGCCCTATTTCTCCCCGCGCAGAACTAACGAGTTTGGGCTTCTTGGAACCTGGTTCTGACCCAGGAAGACTGAAACACTTAGATGACGCCACCGATGTAGTGAGGAGGGACGTAAGTACCGTGGGGCGCCTCCAGATGCCAAGATGAGGGCACACGTGCAAGACCCCCGCGGGTGCCGCGGGGGTCAGGGTCCCCGAGCCAGGGTGTGCGTGGGGGGCCCGCAGGAACCGGCGCCCCGCAGGCAGTGGGGGAGGCGAGAGGGCTGTTTCCGTGGCCCGCACGCCGCCCACGGCCCAGAGCGATGGGCCAGAACCCCGGTTCTTGTGGTTGTCATCCAGGGGCCCGATCCCAACACAGACGGGATGAAACGCCACCCGCCCCTTCAGATAAAATCGTGAACTGAACAGCCAGTCACTGTTTGGGGGCATTCTCCAAACACAGCCCGGAATGTTCCGGTTCCCTTGAAGGCTGTTTCCTGCTGTCCCGGACAGTGACCTTGGAGGAAGTGCCTAAAAAGTGACTCACTGGCATCCAGCTGGGCCAGGAGCCCTTGGCGACGGATGGCAAGGGTCTGGGAAGCCTCCTCCTGGTGGTCCCGGGACAGGAGGACCTGGTCCTTCGGTCTCTGGGCCCAGGAGAGAGGATTAGAGCCCATCGTCTTGAGAGCCACCAACCGTGGGCAGAGGGTCTGGGGCCAGGAGTGCTGGCCGTGGAAGGGGCCACAGGAGGGGGCCGACGTGGGGGTTCTGTTCTGCCAGGGGCCGGCCAGGGCCTCACCTCTCTGCTCCCCGTGGGGCCTGGGAGCCTGTGGTCCGGGGGGCTAGCGCCCCCCTCTGGCCATGCCTGGAGAAGCCCCACAGCCTCGTCCCACCGGAGGCTCCCCTGCCCGGAGGCCCCGAGGACAGGTCTCCTCGTGGGACAGGGCACACCTGAACCTCATGACCTTAAACTTCATCACCATGGGCCTCATCCAAGATCCCACACGCTGCCCTCACCCCGACCCCTTGAGACGACCGACCGTTTCCAGAATCTGTCCTGCAGGCACGCCCATCCTGCCTCCTCCCCCTCCCCCGGGACCAGAGTCCGCCCTCACGGGACAAGGCAGGGTGTGGAACATGACGGCGACACGGGCCTCCCCGGTAGCGGGGCTGCAGGGGACACCAGGGCACCGCCCTGCACGCCAGCTGTGGCTCCCAGACACCCCGTCTTCCTTAGAGAGGCCCACTGCCAACAGCAACAGGCACCCGCTGTCATCCGCAGCAAAACGGGGCCCCTGTTTTCTCAGTGGTAACCTGGCCTCTATTAGCAATAGGAACACGTCACACCCTCTATGACAGCAATGTGGGACCTCTACTTCTGATCGTGACACTGGAAACTTGTTTATTGTAGCTACGTGTGACACTCGTGAGTGACACCCGTTACCACAGTAATCACGACTCAGGTGCGGGCAGCATCTCCGAGCGCCCCCACACCACGCCTCCTGACCTCACCTCTTTCCACGAGGCCTGTGACACAGGCTGTGCCCTTGCAGCCCCTCCTAGAGACGGGGGGTGGCCGGCTCCCACCTGCTCCTGGCTGTGGGTTTCTGTTCCAGCCCGGAGTGGGGGGCAGACAGCTTGGGGGGTGGGGGACTGCGTGTTCCCTCCAAGACTCCGGTGTCTTCTCCGTGAGCTGCTTCACGGCAGTACGTACGGGGGGCCAGCGGGTGGGGGACTGCGGGGGTGCTGGTCTGGGACCGCCCGCCCGTGCTCGCCTCCTTGCGCCCCTCCCCGACCGCCCTGCCTGGACAGCACCTTCGCGCCTTTGCTCCGGTCACTAGGCCGTGACGGAGGCCAGTGCCCAGACGCCCCCAGTAGCTATCAGGGACATGGGAAGGTGCCGGAGGAGGCGCAGGCTCGGGGGCTCACCGAGGGATGCGGGCTTTGGTTACGCGGTCTGGGGGACGGCCCGGGGAAGGGGGTCTGCCCTGGGGCAGGACCCGTAAGAAAACCAGCGATCCAGCACCTGGGTCTCTGTTAATGTTCCTTTAGTAGAAAGACGGGGGCTACGATTGTCATTAACAGGAGTCCCTCGGGTCCTGCAGGAGAGGGGCACGTGGGTCACTGTGGTTCCGGAGCATCCTCATTGGCTCAGGCACGGTTGGAGGGGCGGCTTCCTCCCCCCGCCCGCAGTGACCGGCTGACTGTGGTCGGTCAGGGAAGGCTGTGGCCCCGCTGTCCGCTCCCGGCTGTCACGTCAGGCGCACGTCATACGCTTTCCGGCAAAGCATAGGAAATGCGTGTGAATCCCGGGGTCGGCGTGCCAGCCTTCCCAGGGGCGGGTCTATGAGGCCAGAGCCTGGCACCAAGGGCTCGCTTCACGTTCCAAGTGCCCTGCGGGGGGCTGGCCTCCCCTCGGGTGATGGAGGCTGGGCTCCGTGCGTCCCTGAGGCCAGTGGCGGCTGTGACCTGGGGGGGTGTCACTGCTCCCGCCAGGGCGCTGTGGGGGCTCGGCCTCATCGCGAGCCACTCACCTGGGCGCACAGGTGCCTGCTGCGGAGGGGGCCGCTTGGTGCCCGGGAGCCACCTGCCAGAACAGGCCGTCCCCACCTGCCTTCTGTGTGCCCGTGTCCTGCAGGTGGAAGGATGGGGCCCGTTCGACCTCGTGTACGGCTCCACGCCCCCCGTCGGCCACGCCTGTGACCATCCTCCGGGTAAGAGACCGCGGTCTGCGGGCGTTCCCTGGCCGTCTGGTCCCCAGACCCGTTTGCATGCCCCGCCCTTGGTGCTCTGCATCCCTATAGCAGGTGCTCCGAGTGGGGTCATTTGCGGGAGGACGCGCACGTGCGCTCCCCACGCCGTTTTCACTGCCCTGTCCCCTCATAATGGGGGGGGGGGCGGTCTGCACTCAGGCAATGGAGACCCGGGCCCTTGAGGCTCAGCCGCTCTGGCGGGGACAGGCCTGCCCCGGGGAGAGGCGGGCGCCGGGTCTGGGCAGTCACCCCTGCGCCCCTCTGCCGCGACCCCACGGGCAGAGCCCACACGCACCCGGACGCCCCTCCCCCAGTGTGGTACCTGCTCCAGTTCCACCGCGTCCTGCAGTATGCGAGGCCCCGGCCGGCCCGCCAGCAGCCCTTCTTCTGGATGTTCGTGGACAATCTGGTGCTGACCCAAGAGGACCGGACCGTAGCCACTCGCTTCCTGGAGGTACGTGCCGCGCTGCGGTCCGGGGGCCGGTCCGGGGGCCTCCCCGGGACAGGCCGGCTTCCTCAGAGCCCGGCCCCTGAGCCTCCTTTTCACCCGGTTCGTGGGGGTCACCGCGCCCCTGGGGCACAGACCCTTCAAGGTGGCCTTGGTCGGCGTGCCCTGCACGCTGCTCCCGCACTTCAGGACAGGCCAGCGTGGGGCTCTTCCTTTGAGCCCACGCACGTCTCGCACACCACACACACATCACACGCACTGTCCCTCTGGGGCACCGACAGCCTTGTGTTTTCTCTCCACCGACCCGAATTCTGACCACGACAGCAGCCGCCTGGGGCTGACTGGCTCAGGGCCCCGGCCACACGGCCCCCCCATCGGACAGCCCCCGGTGGGGCCTGACGCCCCCCTCTCGGGAAGTCTCCCTCATGCTGAGATGCTCACAGAGTCACGGCAGAAAGTCTCCTCGCTGCCCGCCCCGCCCCGTCCCCCTCGCCAGTCCTGTCGCTGGGGACGGTGCTTGCCCCTGCACGCAGGTGTGCGGACGCCCGCCCCGCCGCGGGCTTGAGTCACTTAGCGACCACCCTGGACGGGCCTGTTCTGGGCAGTTTTACTTTGGACGTAAAAAACGTATTTGATCTGTTCCTTAATGGGAATGGGGTCGCTGTAGTCTTGAGGTCTAACAGACAAGACCGCGCTGCGGGGCGTGTATGGGGACACCCGTGGGACGGTTCCAGAAGTGACACTGCTGGGCCAAGTTGTGGCGTATTCGCTGCTGCGCCCACCTGCCCAGTCGGGCTGTCCCAGCCCCTAGACCCCTGCAGGGACGCAGGGCCCACAGGGTCAGGCTGTCCCATGCAGTCTCGCTGTGTTTCTGCCCGTGCGTCACCGCACCTTACGTTCTCCTAGAGTACAATCTGTGAATTATAGTTGTTTTTATTAAAAAAAATTTTTTTTTTAATGTTTATTTATTTTTGACGGGGGAGGGGCAGAGAGAGAGGGGGAGACAGAATCCGAAGCAGGCTCCAGGCTCTGAGCCGTCAGTACAGAGCCCGACGTGGGGCTCGAACCCACGGACCGTGAGATCGTGACCCGAGCTGAAGTCGGACGCTCAACCGACTGAGCCCCCCAGGCGCCCCCTGTGACTTACAGTTTTAAAAGTCATTTTCAGGGGCGCCTGGGTGGCGCAGTCGGTTAAGCGTCCGACTTCAGCCAGGTCACGATCTTGCGGTCCGTGAGTTCGAGCCCCGCGTCAGGCTCTGGGCTGATGGCTCGGAGCCTGGAGCCTGTTTCCGATTCTGTGTCTCCCTCTCTCTCTGCCCCTCCCCCGTTCATGCTCTGTCTCTCTCGGTCCCAAAAATAAATAAACGTTGAAAAAAAAATTAAAAAAAAAGTCATTTTCACAGGGCTGAGCAAAACGTTCCCATGATTCTTCTACTTTCCTTCGCGTCTGTGGTTATTCTCCTCGTTAGGAAGTCTGGAATCTTTAAAATAGCAACATGCCCACCTAGAAGCTGCCAGGGCCAGGTTTGAATCCTGAGTCATTTATCAAAAAAAACAAACAAAAAAATCTACGAGTAAGTGATAGCAGGTCCAGCCACAAGGTGCAGGTTCCAAACCCGGACGCCAGTAATCCGCACACGTAGAGCCCATCAAAAATCCTGCCTTTGGATGGCTTTGCACACACGTTTTGGAGGTCACAACTGGTCCCAAATCAGGAGGGCCAGAAAGGGAGCATCCCACATTTCCTGTGACGGCTCCCGTCTCGCTGTGGAACATCGTTCCTGCTGAAGGCAGGGAAGAGCTAGACATTCGGTCTCCTTCGGCTCTGGCGAGTGCCGGGCTATCTGCTGTCTCTCTCCCGGCGAGGTGTCTGGGTCCAGGAGGAGGCTGGGGTGTCCACGGGTGGGGGGGGTGGCGGGAACGGTGCACATGGGATTCTGTAGGCTCCCTGCGTCCATGTGAGTGGGGTCAGCCTACCTTGCGTTGGGCGTCAGGGGCCAGGGGGCTTCTTGTCTCAGTGTCTCCTCTAGCCTCTCCCCCTCCTACTGGCGGAAGGTCCGTCTCCCTCCCGCCCCCTCCCCTTCCAGGGCCCTCTAGGGTCCAGGCAGCCCGCTTGGCCCCTGAAACACCGGCACGTCAGAAAACCCTTCATTGCCAGCAAAGCCTCTTATCTTCCTGAGGCAGAAAGGCTGTTGGCTCAAAGATAAAGGACCCCTTTATCCTTCAGGGAAGTTCACCTCTGAGCTGGAGCCCGTGGGGAAGCCCTGCCCACGTGACCTCTGGGACTGGAAGGTCTGCTGGTAAAGGTTTCCCAGCGATGTCTCAGCCTCTTTCCCGCAGAAGGTGATTTCTAGGAAATCAGATGCGAGACGTCAGCAACCGTGACTGACAGCCACAGTCTGTCTAGAAAGGTGGCTGAGGCCTGTGGGCACCGTGAGGGGCAGAGGTCATTGCCCGGGTCACGCCGAGCCACAGCCCAAGTCTCCCTCCCCCAGGCCGACCCCGTGACCATCCAGGACATCTGTGGCAGAACCATCCAGAACGTGAACGCGGTGCACGTGTGGAGCAACATCCCGGCCGTGAGAAGGTGCTCCCGGCGCGTCCCAGGGCCTTGGGGCGCTTGCAGTGGGGGTGGGGACGCCGGCCCCGCATCAGCGAAGTCTGGGAACACGGAGTTTTCTAGACGGAGCCATGCCCGGGCAGCCTCCGTGCCCAGGTCAGGGGCTGTGTCCGGTGTGCCTCTTTTCTGCCAGATTCTGGGCCTGATCCAGGTCAGGAATGTCCGCTCCCACTTTGGGGACCTTTCCCCAGCCTCTTGCATCAAGGCTGCCTGAGGCTGTCCCCTCAGGACTTTGCAGGGCCTCCCTGGGTCCTGAGAAGAAAGTCCAAATTCCCGGACACCCGTCACCTGGCCCTGGAAACCACCCAGCCTTCTGGAGCTCTGCCCTGCCCTGCCCTGCACACATGCACACACCCACTCCCACCCACCTGCTCACACTCATTCACACACACAGGCTCACACACACTGTCACACTCACACAAGCTCACTCACGGTACATTTCTGGCCTGTACGAACCACTCAAACACACCAGGCCTTGGGCCCTTCTCTGTTGCCAGAACATTCCTGGGACCATTCATTCTCGTGAGCATCCAGCCCCCCCCCCCACGCCCCCTGCCCCCTCCCCTGGATAGCTTTCTGCTCCTCGGACACCCGCCCTCGCTCATCCGTCCTCACCCACACAATGTGCCCCAGAGCCCCTGAGGACACGGCCGCCTCCCTCCCCCACAGCCCACACCATGCGGTACCTGCCCTGTGGTGAGCCAGTGTTGACGGCATCTGAGCTAAGCCACGCCTTCTGCTTCTGACAGAGAGTTTCTGGAAACGCCTATGCCCCCCCCCCCACCATGTCCAGCATTCCCCAGCTTGCAGCGTGGCGTGTGCTCGTGGCAGGACGTGCCAAGGCTTGGCGTGTGCCAGGCCCACACCCAGGCTCCGTGTTCAGTGGAGCGGAGCGAAGCAGCTTTCCCTGTGTCTTCGGAAGCGTTGAGCGTCAGGCCTCCTCCTCTCCCTGCCCTCCTCCCTCTTCCCCCCTCCCCCGGAGTTCTGCCGGTGCAGGCGCCTGGTTCCCAGAATAAAGCTGTAAGCAGCGTCTTCACGTGGGCCTTTGCCTCCAGGCTCATGTCTCAGTAGTGAGGACAGAGCCTCACGCTCGCTGAAAGTGGAAGCATTGAGCTGAGACGGTTGGCAGCTGCCTGTGGATGGCCACGGCCACGGCCACAGTCATCCCTCAGACAGTAGGCCTGTCCCCGGGGAGGCATTTGGGGAGGGTGCTGGGATGGGCGCCGTGTGTTTCTGCCGCCTCATCTGTGGCCTTCATCCCCGACGTAAACCCAGTGATGTCCCCCGACCCTAGTGTGGGTGCTGGGCACCAAGTCCGTGAAGACTTGAGTCCCACGGGCGACATCAAATCGCAGGCCAGGGTGCATGTGATCTCCCCATGCACCTGCCCCACACACAGGGCCCCCAGCACTGGGGGCCACGGCACCCTCAGGGGACATGCGCGGTACCGTCCTGGGTCTCGGGTATAGGAAGTCCTTGGGAGTGATACACGGCGCGGTCTGGCCAACCTTGGCCGCGCAGTCCTGCCCCTTCTTGTGCGCGGGTTCTCTCCACGGTGGCTCTTCACACTGAAAGTGGACTGCCGAGCTGGGCCCGGGGCTCCGGCTGCTCCCCAGAGGAGCCATCTGGTCCCCTGCTGTCCAAGGACTGCTTGTCATTCTACACTGGCTGGAAAGCTTACGGAAGATGGGTGGGGGCTTCCAAGGATGTCTATCTCCGAGGCCTCTGGATAATCCGGTGGGAGCCCGTGCGCCCACTCACGGTGCCCCACCTCCACCCCCGGGGAGCCTGTGCGGGGCCCGGGTTGGTAATGAGCCTCCTTCTCTCCTTTGCAGCAAGCATTCTGCCCTGGTTTCCCAAGAGGCATTGTTCTCGCTGGCTCAGGACAGGCGGAGAATGAAGCCCCCCGCCCAGGGGCCAGCCAAGCTGGTGAAGAATTGTTTTCTCCCCCTGAGAGAATATTTTAAGTGTTTTTCAACAGGGCTCACTTCCTCTTTATAAATGATTCATTTTACCATGAAAAAAAAAAAAAAGTCTTCCTAGAACCGGGCAACTTTCCTTGCATTGTTTCTTTTTTTTCTCTCTTCAAACTATTATTTTATTTGGCTGACTTTGGATTTCCCAAGGTTGCCTCAGACAGAGGCACCTCCTGCTCGGTGCGGTGATGCAGGGCCCGGCCCCGCCCTTTCTCACGGGGGCGACATTCTCAGCCTCTAACCTTGGACAAGACCCTGACGTTATGAAGCATATTTGTTGCTGAAAACGTTTGTGTGTGCCGGTTGAGATGTTACAAATATATTCACTGTGGTTGTTACTGGTCATATTCTGGTGTTTTTATGTGCAAGGATAGCCTTTCTTTTATCCCGTAGGACGTGGGAGTGTGTGTGAGGAAGATAGGCAGGACAGGTTGTCATGGTGGGTGTGGCCCGTGTCCCCTGTGCACGTGGCCCCTGTGGGTGCGTGACTGCCGCCGGCCGAGAGTGAACACCGCTCCCCCCGATGATAGCCGCACCAAACATCCCAAACCCTTGCAAAGCGTAGACTAGGACGGTTGGTAAACAAAGGGAGAAAGAGCTGAACAGACAGCACAGAGGCCAAGGTCCGATCCCCGTTCGAGGCCTGCAGCCCACGGGAGCTCCTTAAACCAGAGGCAATTGCCCGTAGGAAGTGGGATTCCCGCTCGCCACGGGCCCCGGTGAGGACAGACGTGTTACAGAGCACCGACTCAAGCTGGCTTCAAATCACATGTAATGAATCCTAAAGGAACCTTTCCAGATTAGCCAGAAACTCCCCCAAAGTGAGGTAGACTTAATTAAACAGACCCAACTTACCCTGGGCGTCGCAACTGGGGTGAGGGGAGCCTCGGGGCCCACGCTTTGCGGAAGAAAAGTGGGGTTAAAATTGGGCCTTCTCAAGATTAAAAAAAAAAAAAATACCTTGAAGGAGAATAGAAGTTGTAATGGTTTCGACTTGGCTGGGCCTCGGGGCCCAGATACTTGTTCAAACGTTATTCCGGACGCTTCTGTGAAGGTGTTTTTTGGATGAAATTGACATTTAAATTGGTGGGCTTGGAGTAAAGGAGACTGCCCTCCATAATGCGGGTGGGTGCTACCGGCTGAAGGTCTGTGTCTCCCCAAGATTTACATGTTGAAATCCTAACCCCTGAGATGGTGGTGTCGGGACATGGGCCCTTCGGCAGGGGACTCCAAAATGGGACCAGCGCCCTCATCCACGAGGCCCCAGAGGGCCCCCTCGCCCCTTCTGCCACTCGACGCTGCACTGAAAGTGTGTGATGAGGAAGAGGGCTCTCACGCGGCCCTGCAGGCCTCCTGCCCTCAGACTTCCCGTCTCCAGAACCGTGAGCAACACGTTCCGGCCCTTTAGAAGCCATTCGGTATATGATAGTGTGTTACGGCAGCCCGATCAGACCGACACGCGGGCCTCTACCGGCCCACCGAAGGCCAACTAGAGCCAGCTGACCTCCTCCGAGCAGGGAATTCTTCAGCAGGCCGCCCGTGGGCTCCACTCCTCCCCGGGTCTCTGGCCAGCCAGCGCACCCCCAAATTGTGGACTTACCAAGCCTCCATGATCCCATGAGCCCCTTCCTTGAACTAAGTTTCCCTCTGTATATATAGGCACATCCCGTGGGTTCCGTTTCTCTAGAGAGCCCTGATTAATTCAGAGGCCTTCACGGAATCCCCAGGAACCTTCTCTCCTGGGTGGACGGGAGGACAATGCTGGGCTTTGATGTCACAGCTCTTGGGTCCAGGGGCTAATTTAGCATGATCTATAATGGAACGGAGGCCACAGGAGCCCCAGAAAAGGTGGGGAGTGGAGACCACATCATACAAGCACAGGTAAGACCTTCCCGGTAGGTCAAGTTCTGGGGCCAGTCTGACAAAAATGTGAGCTCATCACAACTGTCTGGACAGGGTGAGGTGACAGGGGTGGGGGGGATAGGAGGGTGGGGAGGGGCTGACTCCAGGCTGCTTCCACCCCAGGGAAACAGTGCTGTGGGGCCAATGTGTTAGTGTCCACTTTCTTTTTCTTTTCTTTTTAATTTTTTAATGTGTATTTATTTTTGAGAGAGAGACAGAGAGACAGAGTGCGAGTGGGGGAGTTGCAGGGAGAGAGGGAGACACAGAATCGGAAGCAGGCTCCAGGCTCCG